ACTCAGATTGATCACATCGCGATCAGCTACCGCTGACGCGGTTGTGTACAAGACTGCCGCTCCTTTTGGAGTACCTATCTGGAATCTGATCATGCTCTGGTCTGCACCAATCTTACCTTACTTTTCAGTGGACAACGGAGTGACCGCCACCAAAGGATTGATGTTAGCAAGCTGGCTGCAACTTCTGTTGCTAGTAAGTACCGAACCGAGCTACCTTCTAGGCTAGCTACCATTCCACCGAAAAGTATAGATGAGCATTGGTTGCAATTGCATGACGCCATGAAAATGGCCGGTCAAGTCTGTTGTGGGTTCGCGAAACGTCCCGCTTACAAGCACTGGGTTTCTTCTGGTTCCCTACAACTTATTGAAGCCCATCGGTCTACTCCGGGTGACCATGAGTTTGACCACAAACGAAGGATGTTACATACTGAAATTGGGTAAAGCTTGCGTAAGGACCGAGAAGCCTGGTGGTCGGAGCGTGCTAATGAGCTGGAAGCAGCAGCTGCATCTGGTAATTACCGGAAGCTCTTCCAACTCATCCAAGCCACTGGCAGCAAGAAGTTTGGTGTGAGCGAAACAATCTGCGAGGATGACGGAACGCCAATCACTAACATCCATCGACGTCTTGGACGATGGGCAGAATTCTTCGAAGGGCAGTTCAACTGGCCTGTTGCTCCGTCAACATCGGTCAGACTGTCCTGCCCTCCATGACCGGTGACGACTGATCCACCAAATGAGGCGAAAGTCCACAAGGAACTCGAACTCTTACCTCCGGCTCTTTTTAAAGATGGTGGTGACTTTTTGACTAAGGGACTGACGACGTTGTTTACAAAGATCTGGGAACTAGAGAGTGTTCCGACGTCACGAAATGAGTCGATAGTTGTCCCTGTCTTTAAAAAAGGGTTCACGTCGTTCCTGTAACAACTATCGGGGGATAGGTCTACTTCCGATTGCGTCCAAGCTATTGGCTTCCGTCATACTTCGTAGGTTGTTCAAACCCGAGAAAGATTGACTCGCGAGGAGCAGGCTTGGTTTCGTTCTGGTCGAGGATGTATTGATCATATCTTCACCCTCCGCCAAGTGTTAGAACACCGCCATACTTATCAACGGCCAACAATCGTAGTGTTTCTTGACATCAGGGCTGACTTCGATTCGTTGGATAGGTCTGTTCTATGGGATTGTCTATTGAAGAAGGGTGTGCCTGAGAAGTTTATTAACATCCTAAAAGTCCTATACACAAACACCTCAGGCAGAGTGAGGGCATACAACCACCTTTCTCCACTATTCCATTCAAGCAGTGGAGTTAGGCAGGGTTGCCCAATCTCACCATTCCTCTTCAACTTTGCCATCGATGACATTCTGGAAACAGTTCTGATGGATGTAAGTAATGGTGGTGTTGATCTGTTGCCTGGAGAAAGACTTCTCGACTTCTCGAGTATGCGGATGATATTGTCTTACTGTGCGAGAATGCCCAAGCCATGCAATCCGCACTTAATCAGTTGGCAATCAATGTCCGTAGGTATGGTATGTGCTTTGCACCTTCGAATTGCAAAGTTCTTCTACAAGACTGGCAGGATTCCAATCTTGTACTCACTCTGGATGGTGAGCAGATAGAAGTAGTCGAGAAGTTCGTGTATCTAGGTAGCTGCATAAGTGCTGGTGGTGGTGTGAGTGATGAGATCAATGCACGTATAGCGAAAGCCAGAGTGGCTTATGCCAATCTGGGCCACCTTTGGCGCCTTCGTCATGTTAGTCTGGCTGTAAAAGGTCGGATCTACAACGCCTCGGTGAGAGCAGTTTTGCTCTATGTTTGTGAAACCTGGCCTCTCCGAGTTGGGGATGTTAGACGACATCGTGTGTTCGGTCACAGAGACGATAATTCCATTGGTGTCACCATCTTGAAACACCGACTTCGGTGGCTTGGACATGTTCTACGAATGTCGTCCCAGAGAATTCCACTTCGTGCATTATTTGCCGACTCTGGGACTGGTTGGAAAAAGCGGAGAGGTGGTCAGTGTATGACATGGTGTCGTGGTATGAAAGAAAGCTGCACAGGGCTGGCTTGTGTTGGTCCTTTACGACTCCCTGGCTGGGGTCCGAGAGATGGTGCAACACAATGGCTAGAGACGTTATCAGATATGGCTCAGAGTAGAAGCCAGTGGCGATCCTGCTGTAACCTTCTTTTAATTTCTTCATAAAGAGTGGTTGCTTCTTCCTTAACTGTAAGATTTCCTCTGATTGTACCTTTTCGTTTCCCTCATTTTTGTTCTTTTTTTTTATAATTCCCTACATTCCTTACCTTTTTTCCCTTCTCTTTAAATTCTGATTGTTTTGTGTGGCGCATATATATTTGGTGCCCCACTGTACCAATATTTATGTGTTCAAATAAATAAATAATAATAACGTTCGTTAATAATGACAATACTTTATCGATTATGGTGACGAAAAAATGAACTAAGATGTGAAAAGTATTGTTCTTATTACGAAACTGAAAAATGGAATTTGTGAAGATTGTAGAGCTTTCAGTTTAAACCATGAACTAACCTTAACTAGACCACCACTGGACACCTCAAAGCACTAGATGGCCGCTTCCTCCTAGTACAAGACTGTTCATGGTTACACAGTCACGACCCTGCACTGAACAGTTGAGCCCAGAACTTTCAGTCTCACATGTGAACGCTTAGCCTCTTGTCTACTGAGCCGGCATCCAACAGTGTCAACGTTTATCTTTGAATCCGCAATGCGGAGTCATGCGTGTGCACTTCTGAAAAGTTTTATAATAAGACAAAACGCCCGTCAAGGGCTTCCAGGTTTTTAATGGAGGTCTAGAAAGGATCAATTTTTGACTTACACTAAGGAAATAGAATTTTTTAGTTTGACAAGATAAATAGCAGTGCCAAGTGATCGGTATTTCTGACGTACTCCTTTATTGCACTTTCCATGAATTTACCGATACCAATTTTGAATCATACCTTTTTGAGCTATTCACACTAAACGCGATTCCGACCACTGGTATAGCTCCGAAGGAGCAGGTACACTGATAAACATATCGAATTTCCCGGATGCGAGAGCCTATTCTTTGGACTACTGGTATGCATAAATAAACTAAGTATTACTAGTCCCAAAGCTTTTGAGAATGAAACGTTCAAGAGATCTCGCTACCACTCTGTATTGTCTTATGCATTAGTGAATGTTTCCCATTTATTAATAAAACCAAAACATTTCGTCAACTCACTTTTCTGATTGATCAGTCAAGTTATCATCTAAAAGACCTTCCAGTAATCAATAAATCGCACTTAGTGGAAAAATTAATAGAGCTACGTAATGGCGTTTATATTCAAGGATCAAAATATGTTCACAAATTTAAGAGAATAAATTACACTACTCGCTATTACCAAGTAATATAATCACTGACATCCGCTTGAGAATCCATATTGATCCGAAATTGTTTTATATTTTCCATATATTTGAGAAGTATGATAACTTAATAATTAGTTATGAAAACCTCATAATTCTCGACGACATATCTTTGAGATTTCTTCAAATTAAATTCCCAAAAACCTACATCGTGGAAACAGATATCCAGTCAAACTTATCCACAGACACACAGCGACTGTTACAAAGTAACTAATCTCAAAACTACAGTTCAAAAGCAATGTTGTCTGTGAGAAAGAAATTTAACGTAGAAAAAATTAGCTGTAGGATCAGTTAAACAAGGAAAATAATTAGTCAAGCCTGTTATTGTATCCTTGGACATCATGCGGCACGGTTGAGCAAGTGATAGTTGAGGACGATTGTGAGCTCCAATCATTCAGACTTGATTGATATACGAAATCAGGTGTACTTGAATGGAGATTTTCACTTTATTTATAGTAAACAACGTGGCTTCACGTGTTCGGCATCTGTATGCCTTAGGTATCGGAATTCATCCACAAACCAATCATTTGACTACAAAACAAGTTTGTACTATCCCTTTGCCTACTTGGCCACTGATATATCCCACACAAAAGAGGCCAAGGAAGAAATTTTACCCTCTACTTTCCCTAGATTTCTTTTCGATTTTGTATTTCTACATAATTTTAGTATTCATCTCTCTACTTAAGTAAAATTTGACTTATTGACGAAAATGTTTTGCCAATTCTCCGATTGAATATCACGCAATCTACCAACCAATTAATTATATGTTTTAGTTCATTCATAAATAAATACTTTGGTCGCTAAAAGTGCTCTACCTCCCTTCTTTCTTCAAATACTTCGCTAATCACAAATATTTAACTTGCTTCCTGTAACACTACTGTTGTTAGACCCCCAAAACCGTTGTTTCTAGCCATATCACAGGAAGGGTGTGCAAACCGAAATCTGAAGATGTTTTATACTCCATACTGGTTACGTTCATTATCCTCGTTTTGTTTTTAGACTATGCACTGTACTATTTCCAGCATTTCCAGTTAACCGTAATTTGTACTTGCATTTCATAGTGTTGAATAAGTGTATGCATGATTTCAGCACATATACATCCCTAAATCAAGTAAATAAATCGTCAGAACTAATAATAATTAATTCACTTAATGTCCAACAGTAGTTTATAATTCTTAAGGTATTAATAAAACTAGCTAAAGATATACGATGAAACACTCGCCATTTAGAGTCCTATGTGCACTGCTCGTACATGCTCTCTACCTAACCAGCTCATAAATATTGCTTCCTGTTTAGAAACTCTAGTAGTCACATGGTTAAGATATGAGTAAAATATTTAAAATGGATACAATAGACTTAGCCTAGTATAATCCCGAAAGTTGTAAAGAAAACTATGAATTTATATGATCCGCTCACATAAAAATTTAACTAAAGTGAGTTGCATTTTATCAATTCAAAAACCTAACCTTGAGTTATTAGGTTATACGACCAAAATCAACACTTACCTACAGTCAGGCTATACTCCTAACCTATACACAAAAGGTGACATAATTGATATATTGCAGGTACTGACCACACCATTTGTACAATAAATTTATTCAAACGAGAAAAAACATCTGGAAAAGTATAAGTTTACATTTGACTGCTAATTCGTTTTTATACATACAAAACGAAATAAAATAAAGGTCTTCTCAATCAAGAATTATTATCATCACCAATACTAACTAGATGAATCCATGCGACGTTTCTTAGTTTTAGTATGAGCAGATTTCCATAAGGCATGTTTTACAAATCTTGTTGTAGCTTCTTTGTCCAATTTCAAACGTGCAGAGCCTTCTTTTTCGACTAGTGATCTGCACCTTTTCAACGCATTCATTACACGATCCTTTGCAAAAAACAAAAATAAACACATAAACAACACACAATTACAGACAAATAATACGTTTCTGTTATTGTATGGTGAAACCTATTTTTCCTTAAAGAAAAGCAAATTAATTTGATGGATCAAATGTATTTCAAAACTGACACGTTAATTTACAGAATATATAGATCATAAATAATACTAGGTCATGTACGTAGGCGCTTTTTAGTCCTGGGAAGTTATAACAATCGAGCGAACACACACTAAAAACCACTGACTTCTACACCCAGACATATTGCTATAGAACTAATGGTAAATTTGGCTACTTGAGCACCAATAGAGGATGAGAGATTTCTTATTATAACTTCAATATCCTGCGTACGGGATCATGGATGCGCACTGTTGAGGTGTTCCACAATCGGACGAAACGGCCATCCAGTGCTTCCATTTTTCCAATGATAGTCTAACATCGATCGGTCTAACTCACTACCTTTTAGTGGCGGGGCTGTTGATTGCGAAACTGAGGGACGAAAAGCGAATGTCCGGCGCTTTAACTGGGTTGGTGGATACGATGGACCCACCTAGGGGAGTTGGAAAACCCTGATTCCAAATTAGTGGTGCACATAGGCTCCAGGATCCTAAGGAAACAAATGGCGTATTTTATTATTATTATTTTAACACAAGTATAGGTATAGGGAGGCACCAAATACATATGCGCCACACGAATCTCATTTGATAAGTGTGAGGGCTGTATTACTGCCCGGGTGCCCAAACCGAAGCAGTTGGTTTTCTTAGGGGGCCACACCCCAAATGGCGTATAAACCTATTGTTAGTAACTGGCTACCATGGAACTGAATCCCCTTACGTTACTCCACTGCCTTGTAGATTAGACCTTTAGGTCAAAGACTTGGGGTTTAACCCCCCAAGAAAACCACCTGCTTTGGATTTGGGCACCCGGGCAGTATTCTAACCCTCACATAAATCGAATGATTTATGTGGCACATATCTGCTTGGTACCTCCTTATACGAATGTTTATGTGTTTGAATAATAAATAATAATAATTTCAACGAAATCCAAAAGCTCGTTTAATTTCATACTTATGTTGACCAAAATAGGAAGTCTTAGGTCATACTATTTACTTATTGATAAAAAAGGAAGCTAAATGATCATAATAAAACATTTAGTCAGTTTATCAATATGACAAGAATAGGTGGTCTAGCAGGTAAAGCAATCAGCTCTAACAGTTAGGTAGAGGGTTTGAACTTCACTACACCTACTTCGGTTCGGGAAGTCGGATGGTACCGATAATCTGTAGCGTCAGTTACCATGTTAAGCCCATATGTCTTATTCTAGCTTTCGGACAGCTCAGTCTATTCATTCTACTTGAGTCACATTCTGACCTTGTTAACCATTCGCTTATCAATCTTCACTGTTTTTATATGAGCGCGTAGGTGTGTGTACACTTCTTATCCCATTACTCATCACATGTCTGTAACTTATTTTTGTATGCCTATAAATACTGATTAACGCTTGGCTAAAGGGGAATTGGCTTACCAGCCATCTCCACTGCGCGTTGTTTCGCTTCTCTCTATTCCATTCGCTTCATATACAAAATATATGTATTAAAAAGTCTATTCTCGTTGACTTATTTAATTCTGTTATTGACTAACGCGATTTAAGTCGGTGATTATATACGAGGATAGGGGACACATATATTTCGACAGCAATCATTCATATGATCTATTTGGAGTCAGATCCACGGGCCACTCAAGTGGAAAGCCCTTCGACGAACATCGTCCGATCATAGATGACAAAATAAAGGGTACCACAAAAAATCCATACACAAAATGTAGTTTAAAGCCGACCACGTAGACCTGTACTTATCAGAGAAGTTACATTAGGCAGTGGATTGACATTGCGGTTGGTTGAATTAACCCTTATTCTGTTTTCGAGCATATATCACACAAAATAAAATACTAAAATAGTAAATATAAGGAATATTTTGATAGATTTCTATGGGTAGTGAAGTCGTATTAGGTCAGTGTTCTAAGTCCAAGAACAACACGAAAACCAATTTTGCTATTATAACATAACAGTGAATGTCTTGTATAGAAATAGAACGTTTGTACACAATCAGTCGAAATTGTGTTGTTCGTTGTTTGACTTAATTTAGGACGAATTCAACACTCGTATTAATTGGTACGGAATCCAAATTATAACCTATGTACAGGTTTCTCATTTAAAATGACAAACTGAACGTTTTTAATGATGAAAAACAACGTAAGAATACTTTCCATTATCATGAAAGAATAAGTATAATAAATGCTAAAATGACGATCTTACCAATTCCTGCATAATAGGATGGCTTTGAGTTTCTACACCATTGCACCTGAGATACACTGAAGAGAATTATTAAAAAAGAATTCCTATCGACTTACTGAAAAACAAAGCATTGAAGGCGTAGCATAACGACAGATCAGTTTTGATGGTATCCAAATCACTAATCTAAGACATTTTCTTGTTAATAAATTTCAATAGCATTACCTCAGTACTAGAATCATTTGAAAAGTTGCTAATTTTGTTTACAAGCTGTTCAACATCATCAGTAGCTTCTGAAAAAGAAACTAACTGAGTGCTTATTTCTTCAGGTATTTCATCAAAAATACTGCTGTCAACCATTCCAAGTCAACAAGACTGTGCAGTGCATAAGGCTAAGATGTAAAAATAATAGTAAACAACAGCAACTCAATCTGGCAACAATATTAATACAATTTATCAAGAAAGTACTTGCTTTACAATCTAGACAAGTAGTGTGTTAGGTTTACAGGTTCTCACTAATAATGAACGACCGTTCGTATGTTGATGGCTTTACCAACCAGTCAAATTGGCTTAACTGTACCCGCAATGACATCGTATAAACATGAGGTCATGGAACCATTACTCCTAGAAAGTATTTCCTCAGTTGTGAATTTTTAGAATAGTTTGGAACTATATACAAACGATCGAGCAAGCTGATTCCATAAGAACGTTCGTTGCTATGTTTTGGTCCGTCAATCGATAGGCTTTATGGTACTAAAATATATCGAAAAGAATACCAAAATGCACCCTATGGAGGCTTTCTACTAAGACACTAAAAGTCGATCCTCGACTTTTATCAAACTATTGTCTGAACCGACTATGTTTATTGCTTGACTAGGTTGGTCATATTATCTAATTTTGGTACATGTATACCCCACATGGTGATGAACTCTTCGTTTGACATTTTAGCTGATGTACCATGAATACACTCCTTAAATTCAAATACCTGTATAACATACGACAGTTTAGTGGGAACACAGTAAAATCAGTCTTTGAATACTAAATGACAGAGCACGAAAGTTTGAGATCTTGCTTTCGCTCATCAATGCATTAATCCGACCATAGTGACTAAAATAGCGGAGCATGTTGAGGCGGTTATAATTTCAGTCAGTCAGCTACAACGTAGGACCAGGCCCATATACGTGTCGGTCCAAGTTACCACACCTTATTAGCAGAACAAAATGAACAACAAATTCGTAAAGACAGTTACTTCAATGACAGTAATGTATTAAAAAGGAGTGCATACAAGGTTATAATACAGAGATAAAGAATTAGTTCGTAAAAAGAAAGGTATAAAGTAACCTCAGAGTTTAAGGAAAGACAAAAAGTGTATACACCGGCGCTATTGTGATTGATTTTGAGCCATGTCACCTGGAGTCGAACGCGTTGATAACTTCACTTATCTTGGAAGTCTGATCAGCCCTAATGGGTTGGTGTCTGACGAAATCTCAGCACGGATTCGAAAAGCTCGCTTGGCCTTTGCCAACTTACATCATCTATGGCGAAGGCGAGATATTCGTCTATCAATTAAGGGACGAGTATACTGCGCGGCAGTTCGTTCCGTCCTTCTATACGGCTGCGAAACATGGCCTTTAAGAGTGGAAGATATTCGTAAGTTACTAGTATTTGACCACAGGTGCCTTAGAAATATTGCGGGTATCTGCTGGGATCACCGGGTAAGTAATAGTGAGGTTAGACGCAGGGTATCAGGAAATGATGGTAAATCAGTTGATGAGGTTATGAATCTTCATCGACTGAGATGGTTGGGCCACGTGTTGCGTATGCCTGAACACCGATTACCACGACGCGCAATGCTGACTAGTGCAGGGGATAATTGGAAGAAAGTTAGGGGCGGCCAAACCAAAACGTGGCATCAATGCTTGAAGTCACTAACTTCTGGTCTGAGTCATGTTGGGAGATTCAGACTGCCTGGTTGGGGTCCGCGTGACTATCGTAACCAATGGTTGGAGACTCTTGGTGACATGGCTCAGAATCGATCACAATGGCGTCGGTGTATACACTCTCTGTCTTCCTTAAATTAAGAGATTAAAATCGCTTCATATCTGTCTAGGAACTAATTCTTTCTTCCTGTACTATCTCCATATACACAATCTTTCTTCTATATATTACCACCACTGAATTAACTACTCCTATGAATCCGGTGTTCATCTTGTTGTGCTAATGCGGTATGGCAACTTGGACCGATGCATATACGTGCCTGGTCCTACGTTGCAGCTGACTGACTGACTGACTGAGTCTCCAACCATTGATTATAATAGTCGCGCGTACCCCAACCAAGAAGTCTGAATCTACCAACATGGCTCAGAACAGAATTTATAATTTGTGGACGAACTAATCAAATCTCAGATAAGAAGTCTTGTATTTTGGTGCGAAATTCATTCATCTATATGGTTAAATTGCAATTTAGCAGTACGGCTTTCAGTTCGTGATGAAAACCCTTACCCTAATGTGTAGACATAAATTCGTCCTCTAGATCCAAGTTCAAACTTCTCACTTTAATTTATAACCCTTTTTGACCCTATTAAGTAAGCGAATTTCCTGAAAATCACTTTAGCCTCAAGGATCATCTATACAGTATAGTCTTATCAACATGTCCACCGCTTTACTTTCCAATAGTTTGATTGATCTTGTTAAATCAACATACCAAAAAGTCACTTGGTATTTCTCAACTAGAGCAGCAACGCAAAAAGACTGGATATATGTCTTCATACCAAAAGGTAGGTATACCGTGCAACAGTTCACTCTGTATTCATTTATGGCTACTAAACATGGTCCGTGAGGGCAAAAGACGTTCTTACGTTGCTTAGTCGTAGACGACTTCAAGGAATAGCCTAGGTATGTTGGAATATCAAGATATTTAATGCCAAATTTTAGTTTGGAATAATACATAATGATAAACCGCGTAGTAAGGCTGTTTACCGACGAGATAAGTGATTAGGAATTATGATACATACTCCTATTTGATGCGTACCCTGGTGTGCAGTGCATACTGTTGATTTGAGCCATGTCGCGAGTTGAGGACTTTTTGTTTGTTCTGTACAATAATATGAATCTGTATTTCAAGACCCTAGGTTTTATATTTTTCACTAATTTTATCACTTCTACTGACTTTTCATTACAACCGACATGAACACTTTTTATTTTGTTTTCAATCATGTTAGCTCGAGTTGACGTATACTTATACGAAATTCCATGTTATCGACAACTGGCTATATATTAGGAAGTAATAAGCTTGGAGCATTACTGATAACCAAGTGTTAGTCTCTGAGTTTGACTGACCGATCTACCAGACACAAACCCCTATACTGGACTACGAGTCACACGAAATTTGAGGGCTAGGGATACAACCAGTCTCTAAAACCGAAATGGAATAAGCCTCGAACTCAGAGTCTAGTAATCGTAGGCTTTAACCAGAGTCAGCCTCATATCCTTATCTTAAGGCTAGAAAAGATAATTCACAAATGAAAAGAACTAGCTAGTATTTGAAAATGGGTTATGTGGTGGGCGGTAGTTACTTTGTAAACCAAGTTACAACCTATGATGTAATGTACCCAATCTCCAAAGTTCGAGGAGCATTTCAGGTTTTCTGTACAACTTGTTTACACCAGACCAGGGTAGATTTTCAGGTTTTAATCCTTATTTTCCTAAAATACTCGATCAGAACTTCGCTAAAATTTTCAAACAGACAGGGATTGCACATCCATCTGAGCAGCAACGCAAGTGACACAACTGACATGGCACAAAACCCCCAAAATTTCCCCAGGCCTGCGAGAAATCCTCAGGATGATTAGGGAAATTTTTCGTTTTCCACAATACTTTACCAGAATCACATAACATTGAGGTTCTCTAAAGTAGTGACTGGGGAGAGAAAATATTTCGGAACGCGACTAATTGATCGAATAAAACAACGATCAGTCTCTGCTTATGAAAGCTCAAGCTATATATTTTTGGCGAACGTTTGCTTAGAGAAATTCGATTATAAAACTAACGTTGAAGCCAAAGTCGATAATCATATTTGCCGGATTTATATATATATGGATTACAATTAGAGTACGAAATATCACTTCTAAGAAACAAAAAGCTCCAACGCGCTCTTAAAAACATTTCAAGCTGATATAAATACATAAACATTATCGCGCAGCATACGAAATAGGAATTACTGATACACTAAACCTCGTAAAGGGTCTGTGTCAAGTTTGCCTCCACGACCTTGAACGCTTGGCTAACGGCGGGTATTTTATACTTGACCGTTTCACGGGTTCAAATATTTGTGGTCGGAATAGAAGAAGCTTTCGCTTAACAGGGTTCCGTGTCTAGTAGCAGGGGATCACCAATACCTTCAGGCATGAACCTAGATATATTAACGATAAAAGAGAAAAAAGAAATTGGTAAATCATAGTAAGATACTATTCTTAGTCCTTAAGAACAGATCGAGTTGCCTCTTAAAGGACTCCTGGGAAGTAGCTTGGACTAGCTCAGCCGTCAGCGAATTCCAGCATTTGACAACTCTTGAAGAGTAGAAGTTATGTCTACAGTTCTTTCTGCTATATTGTATCTCCGAATTCTGAGTGTTACCCCTTAGGTAAGTATTGAGACTACGCTTAAGTAGATGTTTAAGAGGATTTCCAGGAGTGTTAAGGATAATGTAAGCCGTCGGAAGGTCACCTTTAAGACGCCTATACTCTAATTAGTAAAGGTTAAGTGATTGAAGGCGCTCTTCATAAGATTTAAATTTGAGTCCCTGGACTGATTTCGTGGCTCGCCGTTGGATACGCTCCAGAGTGTCCTTGTCCTTTTGGAGAGTGGGAGGGAATACTATGTTTCCGTACTTTAAATGGGGAAGAATAAAACTGTTGAAGATTATGTGGAAAGTTCTCGCGTCAAACTGAGCATAAATGCGCTTCAGTGTTCGCAGCGCAAGGATTGCTCAAAAGGCATTTCTGTCACAGTTGGTGTAAGATATAAGTCGTAGGGAACCAGGACTCCTAAAACTTGTCGTCTACCCAACCTTGAAGTCGAGTCAGATCCTCCGGAATCGCCTGTATATCCTCTTTGTTGCGTATCTCTCTCCAAAGTTTCACGTCTTCAGCAAAAAGTGATAAGTCTGACGACACCCGTTGTGGAAGATCATTTATACGAATCAAGACGAGAAGAGGTCCTAGTATTGGGCCACGGATGACACCACCAGGACATTCCATAGCCTGTGGTAGATTGAAGTTAACCCTGAACATAAAATATCGATTATTCAGATATGAAATGAGCCAGCCAATTAGACGTGGTCTGATACCCAATTGTCTGAGCTTATTGATAAGTCATATATGGTTTGCGTGGGTTCAACGTGTTTGTATAAATAAGTAGTCAACTGACTCCTGGAGGCCTAAATAACGTCGTCGAAAATCATTTCAAGTGTGCTGTCTTCCTGTTTTTGTGTCAGGTGTGAAGATCCAGAGCTCCTAATTTTAGGGAAATTTGAATCATTTGGGGAAGCGGCTACAGACATTTTTGAGAAAATTTCCTTGTGTCCTTGATGAAAGTAATTTGACTTTGCCAGTTTCCCCGAATTTCACCCAAACTTGGTAGATTGAGTTTATAATAAGTACGCAAATGCGGGATCAATTCAGAATAATAAGAGCCTAGTGAGCCTAAATTCTTTTTACGGCGAGACACTAAATTATGGACGAACCAATCAGATATAAGATAACTAGTCACAACTTTGAGCGCGAAATTCACCCATACATTTGGCCAAATAGAGTTTTTGTATTATAGATGACGTCGGTTCGTGATGAAAACCCCAAATCTAATGTTTAACTCTAACCATCAACTGTAAATGAGGATTCTAACTGCTTCATAACCCTCTTTTTTTCCTGATTAATATTTGTTCACTCGCAAGGTCACTTTCGCGTCGCTCAAAGGTCGTCCATAAATTATAGTCTCACCCTTTTTACGATTTTAGACATTTCGGGAGGCTGTTATTTTAAGGTAGGGAAATTATTGCCGCCGATTCACTAGGTTTCAACTAGTTAAAATAGCGTTTAGTGGCCCGTGATCTGACTCCAATGTGATCGTAATGATTGGTTGCCATCGTCTATCCTCGTATATAATCATTGACTTAAATCGCGTTAGTTAATAACGGAATTTAATAAGTCAAATAACGAGAATGGAGTTTTGAATGCATATATTCTGCATAATTGTTGATTAGACAAACGAACGGAGGAACGACGCGAAGAGAAGAAAGCGAAGCAAAATTGACGAGCGGTGGAGATGGCTGGTAAGCCAACTCTTTCTTTAACAAAGAGTTAATCAATATTTATAAGCCCACAAAAATAAATTACAGACATGTGATGAGTAACGGGATAAGAAGTGTGCATACGCCTACGCGCTCATACAAAGACATTGATAAGCGAATAATTAACAAGGTCAGAATGTGACTCAAATAGAATGAATAGAATGGGCTGTCCGTAAGTTAGAATAATGAGGTATTTGGGCTTAACATAATGACAGACACTACAAAATAATATTCAGTCAATAATAAGTTAGTGAATCGTGTGGTTTACCGTTACTTATGCACCCTCTGGAAAATCTTCATTATTATGCTACCTAAGTAGGGCCTAATATGCAAACCAATCTTATAAAATATAAATCACGCCCGTAAATATGGCGTATGCGTGCTTCGGCAAAAATATATTAATATTATTAGGTTTTTTTTACACTGCAACGCTTTTCGACCTATATTTTAGCACCTTCGTTATTCTCTAAAGTCATACTATTGTGACATGTATATTTGATGATCTTTGTAACGACCTCATTTTTCGTTATATGTCACACTTACTACGCAATTGCATTTATACACAATATCTATTGTTACTCTGTATCGATGGTAAATAAACGGATATAATTGTTTGTCTATATATATATATATATATATATATATATATATATATATATGAACTTCATAATCAAAATATGTTCTTCGGAAGCGTTAGACGTTATATTGCTGACTATCGCGTAGGATGAGCCAATTTAGATAATGACTTGACTCCCACGTAGGGTTTTCATAGATTAGGTACTCACATAGTGACGAACCTACAGTTTTGAGATTCGTTCTATCATTGTGCTACCAAAGGTAAATGTCCTAATACTGAATTCGGCCATAAATTTACAGACTGATTGTTCTGATACAATGTGAAAACATATGTAGGATGGTCATTAACAAGGATTTCCACTTGTTACACTCTCAATTCAACAGTAGAGCGCTTTCAACTCCATAGACTTCTGAGATGGCATAATTCTTTCAAACCAACACCCAACAAAACCGTTGCTTTTTCAATGGTATTATGCGCAAGAACGGTGAGACGTTTAGTAGCGGAATGCTATTAGTCTTAAACTCCAACGTCTAAAAAAACAAAGTGTTCTATCGCCAGTTTCATTCTCAGCATGAGCAGCTTCTATTACTATCCTACGATTCCATTAATGGTTACAACAAATGCATCTACATGTGGTATGTGAGCAGTAATTTCACACAAATTCCAAAATGGAACGGCTTTATTCAAAACACACTTGAACTCACTTTGCAACGCCACTGATTTATTGTTATGCGCTAGGGAAATCAATAGGAAAAATTAACATTTTTTACACAAAAATTCGGATTCATGCTCTAAATTGCCCCTCTGAAGGAATATTATTAAGTGGTAACCAAGTTGATTCTGAATGTCTCGTTCATCAGAATTTCATACTTATCTAAGTTGTATTCAGAAAATTGCTTTAGAGTATTTCTCAAATTTAGACAAAGCAGTAAATTGACCTCTCAAGGGCAACTTTCTTTCGAGGCGGGAATTCAAACGTCTGATTTTATGTTCTCATGTGGTCAGTGGAATACGACTTGGGTTTGGAAGATAGTTTGACTAGAGATGAGTTGTCAGTGCTTCATCAGTTTTATCAAAGAATGCTCAGTTGTCCACTTGATATATGCCGGTCGAAACGTTATCTTGTCCGTTGGCTGCGCGCTCGCAGTTGGGATGTTGATGAAGCAGAAAAAATGCTGTATTCTCATATAAAATGGAGAGATGTTCAGAAGGTAATGCTCATGTTTAATATAAGTCAATGCTTTACTTTCATTTATGACTGCTTTCACCATTCGTTACATTTTACACTAATTTTTCGACTTGTACGATATTGTGTAATCCCCCGACTTTGGGTAAGTAGTGGGATATTCTTCAAGGTCAAAGAGAAACTAGTAATTTTCCCTATAGCCAGGATGAGTTTTAGGGAGGTGTTTGAATAGGTCAATCAGATATTTGCTCATTATTCACGCTTGCTGGGGTCCATTGTTTGTAAAAAGACTTATTTCTCGCATAGGGGTTTTCTATTTACGTTAAAATCTTACTAATTGTAACTTCTCTCCAAATCCATTCCGTAACGCTCTTCTGACCAAAACGTAGTCTAAGTTTGTTCACATACTTCACTGCCACCCGTTATTATCATAAATTCATATGTCCAGTATAGATAAACACAATGCACATATACCCCAAGATGGCTAATGTTATGCTTCACTGATATAATTAAGCTCATTTTCTCCAGGAAAATAATTATTATCCCCTAGATCTTATCATAAACTTTCTTTGATATGTCATATATTTTAACATTTATCCTTTCCTCTCGCTAACGACCATTGCTTGATTCCAGCGATCAGTTGCCTGCAACCGCATTCAGTTTCTTATATTTATGCAATCTATATTGAAAATCATATCAGCTTCCTGAGTAACTTTGTTGGTGTGTTTACATTCAATAAGTTGTAACTTCTAGTATCTTGTGTAAAAACATGCAATGCTGACTAGTGCTGGAGACGGCCGGAAGAAAGTTAGGGCGGTCAAGCCAAAACTTGGCATCAGTCGTTGAAGTCACTAACTTCTAGTCCGAGCCATGTTGGTATGTGTGGACTACTTGGTTTGATTCCATGTGACTATCGTAACCATTGGTTTGAGACTCTGGATGACATGGCTCAGAATTGATCATAATGGCGTAGATGTATGCACTCTTTGTCTTCCCTTAAACCGATAAATTAAAACGCCTTCCTGTATTATATCCTAATACACAATCCTTCTCTTATATATTACTGTCATTGAAGTGACTACTATGGATTTGGTATTCATCTTGTGCCTGGTCCCACATTTTAGCTGACTGTCTAATTTACTACACTCTGGTAGAGCAATTAACAAACTCTGTTACCTTGTCCTGTGTTTTTTGGAAACAGTAAATAAAGATTAGTGGCAAAGCACTACATATCAGTGAAACGTGATTTTAGATACCGTGTCTGTGAAAGTCCCTAAGCTTAGTATAGATTTAGTTAACCTCATTACTAAGGACTGTAGTCTCACACCAAACAGTCTCACTGGAAGTGTGACGCAAGGTCATCAGTAAGAATAACCATTTGGGACGTTTTTATATCGATTCGACTCATGGGTTTACAAATAGCTGTTGCGAACCATTTATGTAAGTAAGCTTTTTGATTTCAATTTGCGAGCTGCTAGATGCAGGACTAAAACGCTCAAAATTAATTACGATGGTACGGGTTTGTCCAGTTTTTGTTCCACTCTAAACTTTTATGCTTTTATTACCTTAAAGTCAAACTCCTCCATTATTTTTTAGTATTCCAGATAGCTTTCTGCTCTTTTATCTGTAACTGTTGACTGCCCATTTCTTCTTTGTTCCTTTTTATACTTTGTGATATGTTGTTTAGTCGATCACTTCTCATAGTTTATTGTGTATCTTCGTTTGCTACAAAGTGCAACTACTAGATGGATATTTAATAAGTTGCTAGGTTCCATTATTATTATTACTTTTATTGTTATTGTAGGTTACTATTCAGGCATTTACATTGGCAAACAATAGCCCGAAATGCCAATCTAAGCACACATATATCAAATTATAGATGTCATCTGCCGGTCAACAGAAGTTGATTCTCCTCTCTATTTTGTTTCTAATTGCGCTTTATTCGAAGCTCTACTGTGATTATCATAAAAAAGAGCAATGTTCAGCTGTGATATAGTGATTTAAGCGTATAACCTCCCACCGCTGAGTCGGGTGTTCATATTTCTCGTTTATCTAGGTTTGAGCAACTGAGTAGTATCACTTTCACACTGAGAGTAAAAAAACCTGTACGAGGCTACTAATTAGCATCATCACTTGGCTGTAATTAATTTTTCAAACCACTGGTATTCAATCATGCATTTTTGATTGTTTAGATAGTCGGAGAATGTGAGATATTACCTCAGAAAAAATAAAGCTATTTCTGCAGACAATATCATATTTTAATACAAAATGCCCCCTAGAAACTCTCACAGTGTACCATTGTTTTCTGTAAGTACTATATATAGCAGCAAAAATGCAGCTGGAAATCAATGCGACTAAATATTCGGAGAGGATGTGATGTAAGCTAACTATCAATTATTTCTTACTGTCGGTGAGAACAAAAATACTGGAAAGCAGCACATTATAGAAATAGTGTATCCTTCTTGCTAATCTGTAATATCTGTCAAAAAACTGCGGCTAATATGATATAAAACATATAGATGTAGTTTTTTATTATTTATTTATTTATTTTAACACATAGATATCGGTACAAGAAGGTACGAAATACATATGCGCCACACAGATCTCATTCGATATGTGTGAGGGCTGTGATACTGCCCGGGTGCCCAAACCAAAGCAGGTGGTTTTCTTAGGGGGTCACACCCCGAGCCTTTGACCTGAAGATCTGATCCACAAGGCAGTGGAGCATCGTGAGGAGATGCAGTCCCATGGTAGCCGGTGACCAACAATTGGTTCATACGCCATTTGTTCCCTCAGGATACTGGAGCCCATGTGTGCCGTTGGTTTGGGATCTGGTTAAAGCGCCGGACATTCGCTTTTCGTCCTCCCATTTTCGTAAACAACACCCCCGCCACGTGAAGGCAGTGAGTAGGACTTCCCTGGCAGAGGCTATATACACGTGGCCATGTGAGAGCATTTGGAGGAGAGCGGACTCTCCCCACTCTCGGCCGTACTAGGGCATTTGGGGGCGAGAGGAGACAAGCATAATAAAGAAATAATGTGAAAAAATTGAAACCTCATCACTCTGGATAATAAGCTAGTATTGTCGGGGTAGGTTTAAGGTGAGAACAGACTGTTTTTGAATACACAAAGGCGGTTTGAATTTTCGTATGGCTAAGGCTTCATTAAACTTTGGTATACGCCCTTTTACACTTTTGTACAACACCACAAAAGCAAAGTTAAGATCAACCTTACGACCTGTTTCACTTGTGTTTGGCAATAGATGATGGATGTTTATCCTTTACTATCTATCGTAACCAGTGGTTGGAGACCCTGGGTGACATGGCTCAGAATCGATCACAGTGGCGTAATTGTATACACTCTCTGTCTTCCTTTAAACTATGAGATTAAAATCACTTCATATCTTTCTGCGAACTAATTCTCTCTTCCTGTACTGTATCCTTATATGCAATCTTACTTTTATATATTACCACCACTGAATTAACTACTATGAACCGGTGTTCATCTTGTTGTGCTAATGAGGTATGACAACTTGGACCGATGCATTTATGTGCCTGGTTATACGTTGTAGCTATTTATTATTTTTTATTTGAACACATGTATATTGGTACAAGGGGGGCACCAAATATATATGCGCCACACAAAACAATGATAATTTAAAGAGAAGGAGAAAAGAGAAAAAAAAGTAATGAACGTGGGGAATTGTAAAAAAAAAAGAGAGAACAATGGTGGGGGAAACGGAAAGGTACAATCAGAAGAGATCTTTCAGTTAAGGAAGATACAACCACTTTTTATGAAGATAGGTAAAAGAGGGTTACAGCACGATCGCCACTGGCTTCTACTCTGAGCCATATCTGATAACGTCTCTAGCCACTGCGTTACACCGTCTCTCGGACCCCAACCAGGGAGTCGTGAAGGACCAACAGAAGCTAGCCCTTTGCAGCTTTCTTTCATACCACGACACCATGTCATACACTGACCACCTCTCCGCTTTTTCCAACCAGTCCCAGAGACGGCAAATAATGCACGACGAGGAATTCTCTGGGACGACATTCGTAGAACATGTCCAAGCCACCGAAGTCGGTGTTTCAAGATGGTGACACCAATGGAATTATCGTCTCTGTGCCCGAACACTCGATGCCGAACCTCTGCATTACTGACATGGTGTTGCCACTGGATGCCAGCAATCCTTCGGAGACAACGATGATCGAACACAGAGAGTCGTCTAACATCCCCAACTCGGAGAGGCCAGGTTTCACAAACATAGAGCAAAACTGCTCTCACCGAGGCGTTGTAGATCCGACCTTTTACAGCCAGACTAACATGACGAAGGCGCCAAAGGTGGCCCAGATTGGCATAAGCCACTCTGGCTTTCGCTATACGTGCATTGATCTCATCACTCACACCACCACCAGCACTTATGCAGCTACCTAGATACACGAACTTCTCGACTACTTCTATCTGCTCACCATCCAGAGTGAGTACAAGATTGGAATCCTGCCAGTCTTGTAGAAGAACTTTGCACTTCGAAGGTGCAAAGCACATACCATACCTACGGACACTGATTGCCAACTGATTAAGTGCGGATTGCATGGCTTGGGCATTCTCGCACAGTAAGACAATATCATCCGCATACTCGAGAAGTCGAGAAGTCTTTCTCCAGGCAACAGATCAACACCACCATTACTTACATCCATCAGAACTGTTTCCAGAATGTCATCGATGGCAAAGTTGAAGAGGAATGGTGAGATTGGGCAACCCTGCCTAACTCCACTGCTTGAATGGAATAGTGGAGAAAGGTGGTTGTATGCCCTCACTCTGCCTGAGGTGTTTGTGTATAGGACTTTTAGGATGTTAATAAACTTCTCAGGCACACCCTTCTTCAATAGACAATCCCATAGAACAGACCTATCCAACGAATCGAAGTCAGCCCTGATGTCAAGAAACACTACGATTGTTGGCCGTTGATAAGTATGGCGGTGTTCTAACACTTGGCGGAGGGTGAAGATATGATCAATACATCCTCGACCAGAACGAAACCAAGCCTGCTCCTCGCGAGTCAATCTTTCTCGGGTTTGAACAACCTACGAAGTATGACGGAAGCCAATAGCTTGGACGCAATCGGAAGTAGACCTATCCCCCGATAGTTGTTACAGGAACGACGTGAACCCTTTTTAAAGACAGGGACAACTATCGACTCATTTCGTGACGTCGGAACACTCTCTAGTTCCCAGATCTTTGTAAACAACGTCGTCAGTCCCTTAGTCAAAAAGTCACCACCATCTTTAAAAAGAGCCGGAGGTAAGAGTTCGAGTTCCTTGTGGACTTTCGCCTCATTTGGTGGATCAGTCGTCACCGGTCATGGAGGGCAGGACAGTCTGACCGATGTTGACGGAGCAACAGGCCAGTTGAACTGCCCTTCGAAGAATTCTGCCCATCGTCCAAGACGTCGATGGATGTTAGTGATTGGCGTTCCGTCATCCTCGCAGATTGTTTCGCTTACACCAAACTTCTTGCTGCCAGTGGCTTGGATGAGTTGGAAGAGCTTCCGGTAATTACCAGATGCAGCTGCTGCTTCCAGCTCATTAGCACGCTCCGACCACCAGGCTTCTCGGTCCTTACGCAAGCTTTACCCAATTTCAGTATGTAACATCCTTCGTTTGTGGTCAAACTCATGGTCACCCGGAGTAGACCGATGGGCTTCAATAAGTTGTAGGGAACCAGAAGAAACCCAGTGCTTGTAAGCGGGACGTTTCGCGAACCCACAACAGACTTGACCGGCCATTTTCATGGCGTCATGCAATTGCAACCAATGCTCATCTATACTTTTCGGTGGAATGGTAGCTAGCCTAGAAGGTAGCTCGGTTCGGTACTTACTAGCAACAGAAGTTGCAGCCAGCTTGCTAACATCAATCCTTTGGTGGCGGTCACTCCGTTGTCCACTGAAAAGTAAGGTAAGATTGGTGCAGACCAGAGCATGATCAGATTCCAGATAGGTACTCCAAAAGGAGCGGCAGTCTTGTACACAACCGCGTCAGCGGTAGCTGATCGCGATGTGATCAATCTGAGTCCAGGCTTGGGATGCAGAAGGGGGACGCCAGGTGGCACATCGGCGATGACTGTGCCGAAAGTTAGTGCTAGCCAGAAACAGGTTGTGGTCTGTGCATAGCTGTAGTAGACGTTCCCCGTTATCTGTCCTGCGACCAACGAGTCCCCATCGGCCACCTAAAAGACTCTCTTCTGTACCTAGACGACCGAGCTGAGCATTCAAGTCTCCAGCTAGTACTAAAATATCTGTCGAACGCACTTTCTGGAGAAGAACAGTTAGCTGGTGGTAGAACTCGTCCTTGATTGCATCCGGGCTGACGTTGTAGCTGACTTTGATGGAGTTTTTGTTCTCTGAGCTGGATGGTTTTGGTTGTGGCTGACTGACTGACTCTTATTGGGTCATTTGATTCTATTTGTTTCTGCAACCATTTAGGTACATGTTCACACACCCTGATTTTGTGATCACGATTACTCCTCCATGTGTTCGTGTGACCACACACATTTTAATTGGTAGACACAGTGAGATGTGACGCAATCGTTTAGATGTCTTTTAGGTTTTCTGTGAAGCATGAACCTTGTTCTTTTCTTGATAATGACTTTCGCTGCGTGATACATCTTGTTAGTGACTGATTTAAGCCTTTGTTTCAACAAAAGACTATTTGAATCGCCTCTAAACGGTAAGGTGATGTGGACAGGCTTCTTTTCTGCCAGGGCAATAGTACGTCTCACTGTACCATGGACTTTCCATCTATTTATGAATTTCAGAGGATAGCCATTTTCTATTAATGTTCTATTTAGCAACTTAACATCATCATCAATGGCATCATTTGTACAAATATGACCAAGCCTGTTGAATAGGCACCTTATCAAACCACGTTTGTATTGCACAGAGCAATAACTATAATATCTGAGGTATTGGCGTGTCCATGTTTGTTTTCTAAAAGTGGATCATTTGATTAAGCCATCTCATCTACTTAGAAGTATATCTTGGAAGGGAAGCTAGTCGTTCTTCTCCTCTTCGCATGAGAGACTAATGTGGTTTTAGAGTGTTAAGTTTATTCAATAAACATTTCATATCTTCCTTTCTTTGATAGACAACTAAGATACTGTCCACACACCTCTTATAAAGTGACATGTTTTCGATTAGATCTTCAGTCAATTTTTAAACATTTGCCACGAACACATATAATAATGGTCCTAACAGATTACCCATAGCAACGCCATCGATCTGGCGAAAGTATTTATCTTCAAAGTGAACTGAGCTTTGTCAGTACATGATAGTAGTAAATGTTCAAAATTTTTTAAAGGGACACAGTTTAAGGTTGTTTAAAGATATGTAGTCACATAATATATCAATAGTCTCTTTTAAAGGTACAAGGAATTCATATCAAATGAACACATTGCCTTTCCCTTGATATTGATACCACCTAGATGATCGACCAGTTCAAAAGAATCCTTCAGAGAATACTTACATAAACGTCTTGGGATAGGGTCCAGCAATTTTGTTGGCCATTTAGCTAGATTATGTGTAGGTGGTTGGCACATCGATAAAATTGGGCGTAAAGGAATGTTTAATTTATGAATTTTAGATAGTTTATATAAATACTCAGAACACATAGATTTTAGAAAATTAAATTCCTCTTTATCAATAATATTCATGTGTAGCAATTTTACTAGGTTTGAATTTACTCTTCCCTTTAGTTTGCTAATGCATACATTTACTTTCATCACTGCGGATGGATAACATCTTACTTTTATATTCATATTTGTTCATGATAACCGCGTCTGATCCTTTACCAGGTTTCAACAAGACAATATAAGGGTTTGTTCGTAGTTCTTTTAGTGATTTAAAATGCTGAATTGATATGCTTCTCTGCTTTTGTCCAGTATTATGAAATTGGTGTGCTAGATTTGTTTTTAATGAACTTGTTTAATAATATGTAGTTGGATTCAGTTCTTTTCTATCGTTTCCCGTCATTTGTAGGTCGATACATTACTTGATTGCTATGAAATCCCAGACGTTATACAGAAATACTTTCCCGGTGGATTTTGTGGGGAAGATAAAGAAGGCTGTCCATTGTACTGTGCTCCTGTTGGTCGATTCGACCCAGGTGGTTTTATGAAAGCCACTACACACGCAGAGTTTATTCAAAGTAGAATTTATTTTATGGAATATATCATACAAAGAGTTTTTTATGAGAAATCAAAAGAACATAATCGATGTATTGACCAGCTGACACTTATATTAGACATGAAACATTTAAGTTTGAAACATATGCATCCATCTTGGATCCCTGTATTTTCGGAAATGATGGCAATAATGGAAGCAAATTATCCTGAGGTTTTACGCATTTGTTATGTGATTAATGCTCCACCAATATTTGGAACTATATTCAACTTCATTAAACCTCTGTTAAGTAAACTTACACAAGAAAAAATTCATGTAAGTGCTACATTTATTCTAAGACCCACAGTTATTCTCATCACGTATTTAAGCAGTTAACTCGTTTCAGCTGGTGATGTTTCTTAATCAAATTAGATTTAAATTAGAAATCTGTTTAGGATTCCACTAGAGATTGTGATTGGAATAAATTCAAAACATTTAGCTCTTGAAGATGAAGTTTTAAAGATATCAGTACTATCAGAACCCCAACATCGTAGAATAACAGTATATACCACCATAAATTATAACATCTCATGAACTAAATTTCCGTGATGATATATTACTGGTGATTTTGTGTAGAATTTCCAGTTAGTTTTCTGGTAAATGAAAATCAGTAGTATAAATATAGTTGGTAAAGTGCTAACAGCACATATATACTATGAATAACGGTGAACTAGAATAATGGGATGTTTAGTGTTTTTATTGTGGCAACCAATAAATGGATCTATTCTGATAAGGTTAGTTCTCAGTCATGTTGTCTCAAGTCTTAACAGATTTTTACCGTCTCAAAATGTAAATGTAATATTCTTCATGTGTTTCAGTTAGGGTGTCAGTTTGTCTGCTCTATTCCTTGAGATAAGTAGGAATTTTAGAGACTAAAAATCCAATTCCAGCTTTACACGTCGCTGAAAAATTTTGGGGTTAAGGTCTGTCCAACATTTAAAAATAATATCAGTCATTATAAGTTCACAATTAAAACTGTTCACACAAAAACCCTGAATATTTCGTCCCTCTTCATTCATTTTTTCAACCGGGTGTACGTACTCCTTGTGTATTTTGACTCTCTCCGTGGCACAGTTATTTATTAATGTATTTAAACAGATGAAAATTAGTACAAATGGATACTAAAATATATATGCACACTCAAAATTTGTGTTAGGGGATGGAATATTGTCCTTCGACCTAGAGACCTAATCTACAAGGCAATCGAACAGCGTTAGGAAATGTGGTCCCATGGTAGTCGGTGACCAAAAATAGGTTCACGCGCCATTTATTCCCTTAAGATCTTAGAGCCCATGCGTACCATTCGTTTGGAACAGGGGTTTCCTGGCTCCTATGTGTATCCTCGATACCTGCCAACCCGGTTTATGCACCAAACATTTACTTTTCGTCCTCCCAATTCCATGAGCGACACTCCGATCACTAGAAGGCAGTGAATAGAACTCCCTTGGTAGCGGCTGTATACGCGCGATTATATGAAAACATTTCGAAAGGGATGGTAGACTCTTCCTCCTCTCAACCGTACCAGGTCTTTACTTTGAACCACTAAAATTCACATGTCTCAGAAAATATGCCACTGCTTTTCAACTTTTTTGTTCATTACAGTTTATTTTGACTGCTTCTTCTCGTCTAACAGCTTTGATATCTAAAGTAGACATTTTGTCACATTTTCTTCTAATAAACCCATCAAATAATATATGGCGTCATTATCTTACAATCTTTTCTAATCTCATCATTTAACACATGAAACAATTATTAATTTTACGCTAACTTGTCGTTTTTAGGTATTAAAATCGGACTATCGGGCTACTTTACTCCAAGTAATTGACTCAAGTAAATTACCAGCCTGTTATGGTGGAAAAATAACTGATCCTAATGGTGATCCTCAATGCCCATCAAGAATTTCATGGGCTGGCCCCGTCCCTGCCTCTCTTTTTCGTAAAAAGCTATCAGATGACAAGTTGTCTGTGCCCAAACAGTCCGAAGTATCTGAAGAAGTGAAACGTTTTACAGATTGCGGTCGGGATTTAACTATGGTTGAAGTTGGTCCAGCTTCACGTAAAGATATTTCTATTGGAATGGTTGATGTAGGTGATGAGATTAAATGGTGGCTTTCATGTGAAACACATGACATTGCAGTTGGTCTGTTCATGAAAAATTGTATTACAAATGATGGAAAAGTTACAAGTGATTCAAGTAAAAGTCCAGATACCTATATCGAAATGATCCCAACGAAACGTATATCATCACATGAAAAAATTGTTCAAGGAACTCTCAGTGTTGAAAACTCAGGTGTATACATCCTTGTCTTAGATAATACTTACAGTTGGACAAAATCAAAACGCTTATGGTATCACTTAAGTGTAAGTTTATTTAAAGAAGTTTAGAATAGAGACCAATTTGTGTGAATTTCTGTTCTTATGTGAATTGATTACTTGGTGGTCGATCCAATCTATAGCTCAAATCCAGTTTCCACATTTTTGATTTCAGTAGCTACTTATTCCTCTCAAACTCGAAGAAGCAGCGTTTTACAGCCAGGCAGGTCAGAAACTATGGGAAAACATTACCGACCCAATTTGTTAAAGTTTAGACGAAAAGACATCAATCCATCTCACCAATAAATCATAATAGAGAAATGCATAGTCTCTTGAATATAGTTATAGTAGAAACTTTCTCCTTTCATAGTCAGGTTGACTTTTTCCTTACATTCGGCCTACATTTGTCTAAAATCAGTTGCAAAATTAATATTACAAAACCATATTTCATCGTAATCATGAAGAATAATGGTTTGAATTCGTTATTTAAATTACTTTTATTTACTGTTTTATTGACATATAGTCTGACTACAAAGATAGTTAATTTACTACCACCATCACTTCAAGGACATACATAACATTAGATAACGGTAAATGTTTTTCTAATCCTTACTTCCTGGTTTCTCATAAATCTGCATTTTTAAATAAAGCTTCAATAGCCAGCAGTTGATTTGTTTCAGCTGTTTACTTTCCCATACTTTTACATCTGATCATTTCAATCGATAATCTGTATAATTTTGGATTTCTAAATACTTAAGTCATTCTAGTCATATATAAAATACCCTGTTTTTAAATTGATTCACAGTTTAACACTGTCTCTGTAATTATATTAAATCTCTATACAACCAAGGCAACTTGATTGTATAGAAACCATACAAGGTCGATAACCGTTGTTCAATGAACTAATCACGAAGCGATCTAGATTAAACAAGTATCGAAAACCTGGAAGCACTGAACGGCTGTTTCGTTTTGCTATCGAAGTTCTAGTGGTAAGCTGTGACCAGTAGAGCTAAACCGTGTTGGATTTGAGAAGGGTACCTATAAAAGACAGTGGAGGATGGTCGCAGGACATTGTAGATTGATTGAAGTTATACGTTAATGCCATTTAATGTCGGTTCAGTGGTCTAGAGGTTAAGTGTTTGGGTTTGATCCCCACGTGCCGTGTCGTTGATGCGCATTGTTGAGCCCCATCCTGGGACGAAGCGGTCGTTCAGTGGTTCCAGGTTTTACATGATGATCTAACATTAATTGGTTCATGATCTCAGTGAAATTTAGCGATCTGCAGGTTAATTCAATATAGATTGGTTGATCACTGTTTAATGTCCAGTGTCATCTTTATTTAGTCCTTAATGCTGTAGTAAGTCGTTCTGTCAAATCACAGCATGATTACTAGTCTAAGTGACGGAATATAGTACGCACGGTACTTTGATGTTAGGTGGTTAGAGACAGTCAAAATCTTGGTCCAAGATATTTCTCTGACTAAATCTAAGCATTCAGAATACTCTATTTACCTTACTTACTTCTAATGAGGACACCATATTGCATGATTTTGGATAGAGTTACTATTATTACCGTTATCATTATTCATTTCTTCTTGACCTTAGCTGCTACCTTGATGTGGTGATCGAGGTTGCCTATCGTAATAACTCAACAGACCGTTATTGTCTGGAACACATGTTTCTTTAGGTCCTACCGTGCTAAACAGGTTAATTGGTCAGTCAGTGGTCTTAAGTGCTGTTGGCAGTATGAGGGTGGTTATCACTTCCCGGTTGCCCACACCATGGAAGAGTTCTGGACGTACCTGAAAAGGAAATTGGATTAAAGGTGATCTTAGAGACCTGAGAGCGTGACCACAGTGCCCAAGAGACAACTGCTTGAAGTCGGTCACACACGACCTTTATGTGGGTGGTTTTCGTGTTAGCTCCGTACTTGTTGAGACCTTACCGCCGGAGACGGATATCCGTGGGATAAGGCGAAGTGTGCATTTTTATGGTCGACTTTTTCTAACCCTACCCCTTCTTGTGGGAAGGCAGCATCGCTCTCATGCTGGTTGTCTGAAAGAAACACCTTACTGCTGTCACACCTTTGTACAGTCAGCAGTAGGACTTCACCTTCGAACCTTGGGTTTGTTGGTTTTAGTCTTACCGCTCTTCAACCAACCTGTCTGGCATGGTAGGACCTTGAGGAACGGTTGTTCTAGCCAGTATAGCTCGGTTGCTTCATCATAATAGGCATTTCCGACCACCACGTCAAGGTAGCAACAACGGTCTGTTGATTGGAGAACGGTAAGACTAGAAGCAGCTAAATAAAGCCCAAATGCGAAGTCTTACTGGTGACTGTAGAGGTGTGTGACAACAGTAAGTTGTTTCCCTCGGACAACCAGCATCCACAGCGATGTTGCCTTCTCACAACGGAAGGAAGGGTTAGTAAATGTCGACCCTTAAAATGTCACATCTCACCTTACCGCACAGATTTCCGTCTCCGTGGGTAAGGCCTTTTAAAATGCGGGGCTGACACATCGGAATCTTCCCATAGAAAGGCGGTGCACTGTCGGCCTTAAGCAATTGTTCCCTTGGCTCTGTGTGTATACTCCCAGGTTGCTAAGATCAGCAGTAATTCAGCTCCTTTTTCAGGCTTATTAGGAAGAAATATTCTTCCACAGTACGGGCAGCCGGAAAGTGATAACGGTCCTCATACCTTTATCGGCACCCGTAATCATTTTGTTGACGATCGAATTCGTCCTTCACTTAATAATTATTCTATTCCCTCAACTAACCCTTCTTATATATCTTTAACACAACGCACCACTGTTGCTAATGATTCGAGTTCACGAAATGCTATTCCTGGTCTATTGAAACCACTCTCTAAACTACATGTTGCAGCTTTTAGTGTTCGAACCTTGTATCAGATAGGAAAACAGGCTTTTTTATCTAGGACCCGAGAATCTTTCGACATCGATGTATGTTACGTCTCCGGAGCGCGCATACAGGATCCAAATACGGTCATTCATTTGACCTCACCCTGTCGATATAAAGCGTCGGCATGATTTATCCTTCGAGTGTCTGGCGACCCCACTATTTCTTCCTACAGCCCCTTTGGTGTAGGTATGTCATTAAGTTTAAAAGCAGAACAGGCTTTGTTGAACTGGATCCCACTAGACAGTCTTTTGTGCGATGTTTGACTAAACGGGACATTAAAAACTCGAAAAGATAGGAGCACACGCTGTTGCCTTTTCGTTGTCTTTGCCGATGCCCCATTGATTATAGTTCGGATGAAGTTAGTGAATTTTGTTGGAATTTATCCAACCTACTTCTAAAATCAGATGGGTTTTGTGGATATTTTAGTAATTTCAATGGTTAAGATCATGAGTCAGTTGTGCGCATCCACGACCTCGCCCCCTGCGAAATTTGAACCCAGGACCTACTGGTTTCGCGCGCGAGCACTTAAACGCTCTGATGTAATAACAGCGGGTTATTTTGATGTTCAAGTAAACTAAACCAAACCGAAAGACACTTCGTCGGATCTTACAGTGTTGCAACTTAGCGAACAGATAATGGCGACGGTCTGTTGCAACTGTGCTTAGAAAACCGTCTATTTTTGACAAACGCCAACTTTAAACATAGTCTGACGTGGATACCTCCACAATCGACTCATCGATGGACTCAAATAAATCACATTGACACTAGCTCATTCTAGAGAGCATGTTTAGATTTGGATCACGCTCTAGTTCCAGCACTAACATGTCTGCGTCTTACGGGACATAGGAAACCTACAACAAAAGCCCTTAGAAAGATATCCGTCTTCCAACCAAAGGGCGAGTTTACTGCGCAGCGATTCTCTCCGTTCCCCATGGATGTGAAACATGGCCATTAGTAATAGAGGATTTTGGTAGGTTACTGGTACCAAGCATTACTCATATATTTTGGGACTAAAAAGTAAGAAATGCCTGGGTTTGGAATAGAGTACTTGGTAAATATGGGAAATAAATAATGAAGTAGTAAATCTTCATCAACTGAAGTGGTTGGAACATGTTTTGCCTATGTCCAACCACCATCTACCGCGACGGGTGGTGTTTACTGGTTCAGGAGTAGGCTGGAACAAAGCTAGGGGTGGCCAAACCAAAACATAACGTCAGTCTATGAAAACACTGACAATTGGATTAAGCCATGTTAATAGATACAGAATACGTGGCTGGGGTCCACGTGATTATCGCAACCAGTGTTTAGAGTCTCTAAATGAAATATCTCGAAATCTTTTGCAATGGCGCAGATGCATCCATTCCTTGTCTTCCCCCAAATACTGAGATTCTAAATTCCTCATATCGTTTTCATTTCGCTAATTTATATTTTCTTTCCAAATCATATATTCGATGCCTAATCTTCCTTATTGCCACTGATACTGTTACTACCTCCTATTTTCTAGGATTTGGCCTGATTTCATCTTTCTGTGCTAATGGGGTGTGGCAACTTGAATTGATGCACCTAAGTACAAGTTCTCCGCCGTGACTGATTGATCTCTTCGGATAGATTCATATAGACTACTTTTTTATATATCTACTCACATCTATTTGATCCATTTTACAAGATTGATTTCTTTCTTAGATTTTATTCTCAAAAACACCCATTTCTCTGTGTGGTTAGTGAACACTTTCAGGCTACGGTTGTTTACGATTCATGTGTATTATTATTGTTGTTGTTATTGTTATCGTTATTATTATTATTATTATTATTATTATTATTATTATTATTATTATTATTGTTATTATTATCGGTTAACGTTGTATTGTGGTAATTTTTCCTTGTTTTAATGACCCAATCCCTTACTTCCTACCCCTCTCTATATATATTGTTCAGGTCACTGGCAGAGTAGAGGATAATAAAAACAGTTTTACAATGTCAATGCCTTCACCAATAGATTCTTTGAATTCCAATCATAAACAACTCATTGATACACCCGTAAATGATATAACCGTGATACCAATTCCCGAAGAGAATTATTATGCTTGTCGTATGGAGACTGGTGGAAGTATGGATTTAAATGTTAGTATTCTATTTCGATTTCTTGTACAAATACTTATTCTACCAAAAATCAAACAACGTCCCAATTAAACTGGTGAAATCAATGAAGTGCACACATATACACACAACGTTCTAAAATCAGTGAGAAAAAACCAGCCTAATGAATTCATTACAACTAATTGGTTAGGTCAAATCACTACCATTTAAAAGTCTTTCAGTTATTCTGTAATTACCTGTTTCCAAATTTTTTAAAGTTTACTAAACGTATAAAGAAAAAGAGGATGATTAACTGTGCGATATTACTTTCTTATAAACTTACACTGCTCATTTTTTCCTTCTTCCTCTTTTGTAATATTTCTTTTCATTTAAATTAAGTAGCTACATATCTTTGTTTCTAGAGTGTACTGTACTACTAAGATTGTGTATTGTATTTATATTTCTTACATCAGGGCAATCTCTGGTGAAATACGAAAAATGGTTAAATAATAAAAACAGTTTGGGAATAAAACTTTAAATGTGCCTTTTTCTTTTCAAGCTTTCAAATTAGTGCCTCTTAAATCATACTTCTAAATACTGAAAAATACTTTATTGTTACAAGAGTTTCTTAATCTCTTCTGTTTCCTTATTTTCTTGTTAATATCTGACAGTTTTTTTTTTTGTTACTTGAAAAAAATATCATTTATTGAATAATTTCTTTATTTTGTCTACTACGGTTTTTTAAAAAAAATTAAATATGATATGAATGGTTGTTTAAAGTAAATATGTGACATGAATTAGTGGATTTTCAATGAATTAAGTGAACTAAACACATTTTTGTTATCATTGAAATTAGTCAAATAACCTGTATGAATTCGGGAGAATATTTACCAGGTGTTTCATTTTAGTTTTGATGCTTTTTTGAGATGGTAATCACTATCGAATTTCTAGAGAGTGAATGGCCTAGTAGTTTGAACGTCCAACTTTCAACCGTTGTGTCACTTCAATCTCGCATTTCGGTTTGGACAATGAGACAGTATTACGAATTAATGTTACTCAAAGTCAGTTACGTAAACTTGTATTTGATCACTGACTTGTATCAAATCTAATTAGGTCTTTTCAAATTAAATCTAAACCTAAGTTCCCAAGGTGAACAAATAACCACTTGCTTAAGTAAGAGAATTTCGGTTGTATACGATTTTTTGGAATTGAGAAAACCCAACAGGATTGTGGTGGTTTATCAATCTTGGAGAACCTCATATTTTCCTACCTATTTAGTAGATTATGATCAACAGCGACTTTTTTCCAGTTGTTGTCGTATTGCATCGACATCATTACGTAATTTACTGTTAAGTTTCATGCTTAACCTTTTGTTTGGTAGTTTATATTTAGGCGGTGTTCAAACGATGGTTTACGCATTCGAACACTTTTTTCAGTTTTGAACCCTGGTGCATATTACTTTGTTTCAGGCAGTTCACGTGTATCAGTAGCCGTTACATAAAAAAAATTCGTCGCTCAAAACAGTACACAAATCTTCACTTGATTAATGAGTTACATTATTTGACTAAACAATTGAATGGTAATTAACTTTATTGTGTCATACAAAATGCATAACTATATTTTAAAATGTTGGAGCCTACCAGAAATTTGTTTTATACAATCTCACATAAAACTATCTTGTTATTTCCTAATTAGACAACCATTTATTGTGCTTTAAACTAACCACCTGAGTAAATATTCAGTGGTCAACTTGTTATACTTTTCTATAGTAACACATGTCGAGAAACAGCTGTTAGTCTACTTAGAAATTCTGGTAATAATTTTAGTGGTACGGGTTATTTTGATTTAGTGAAATTCTATTATATTTATCATCTTAGTTTATTAAATCATCATGAAGTTTTGTTCTGGTGTTAAATTATAATGGTCTAAAAGTTCCTTTTGTAATTAGATTTACTAAAAAGTAATTTCATGAAAATGACTATTCAATAATAAGTTTTGTGTCTACGTAAATGGAATTTGAGCCCACTATTTCATTAAATTGAACTGAATTTTTATACACCTAACAAGATCAACTTATTCAATTTGTAAAAAATATTAAACTTTAAACTGTATTTTTGTGGTTTATTTGAACGGTTAAAGTAAAATGTACTGTGAAAATTGTTTGATTCTAGTATAACTTTTGTTAAAAATTGACTTTAATCAATTAACTATTGGAAGCGAGAGATTGAATCTAAGGTCTCCTACCAATCGTGATGCCTTTAGAACACTGATTGAAAGCCATTATGCTCCACTTTGCCAACTTCAGTCAGTTTTCAAAACCAGTCAACCAACATTCAGTGTTATCGGTAACATCTAATTGTCGTCATAGATTCCACTAGCTATTACCTACGAAGAGTACTTCAAAAATTCATCTCAAAGCCAGTTACTAGTGACTATACAATTATTATCATTATTGGTTTCAGCGATTGTTCTTTTTGAATTTAGTTTTCACCGCAGACTGATACTCAGTCAATTACCATTAAAGCTATAAAAGACAAACAAGCGTTTGATTCGCATCTGTCGGGTTGTGAGCACTCAATTCTGAATTTGTTGAGTGACTACTTTTTTTAGTTTCTAGTAAAATTATTATTTTTAAAATCTAATTTATTAGACTAATACGTTTGTAACGTACTTCTAACTTTCTAATAAACGATTTATATTTTTATCAGACACAATTTAACGTTTATTTCACCTTTTCTATAACATGTTTAAGAAATGTTTTTCTCTTCATCAGCGGGTATCATGATCTGAAAACGACTAAATACATACGGGTTGGTACTCAATAGTCTATTCTTTATAGTTTGTTTCTGTTTTTTTTTTCAATAACCACTTTTATTGGAATTTGTGTAAAAAAAATTTAGAAACTAGTTACCTTTATGGTATAAGTGTTTTCAATATATTCTATGTTTCCTGTATTCAGTATTGATGAGTCGTTTTCTACCAATAAAGTTTTGACAAACTGACAGTTTACTTATATTTTGATATTGTTCACTATTCAATTGTTCATGGAATAGACACGCGAGAAATATTGAAATTTTATAAGATTCATGTGAAATATGGTGTGACATTCCTTTTCATTATATCAAGTCCATTATATTCTTATGCACAATTTTGTTTGATGTATATTTCAGAATATATAAGGCACGTCATTGTTATTATTACTATTCAATTCATTGTTTAAATAACAAGAACTAAATTCAATATTCATTTATTCAACGTAACACTATCAATATTACTGAAATAGTTCATCCAGATAGTAAATGTGTTTTTGAAAAAAAGTTATATGAAGTAAGCCAAACCTCAACGTCTAGATCTTGCATAATTTATTTTCGAATATGTACTTTACAACACGAATCGGTCCTAGTTAGACATTCATTTGAAACCGTGTTTAATCTTTGTTTAGAAATCCTCAATTGTGGACTTGGTTGTTGACGTCATTTTACCGAAATACATTCGCCACACCATGCCATATTTGATGGTAAATACCTGAAATTATTTAATGAAAAACTATGAATTCTGAGCACATAGTAGCGCGGGTTTTTTCAAATAATGACTATTTTTGACAGGTAATCCTCTGAGTTCCAATGGAAAGCCATGACCGGTAAAGCTCAACCATTTTGGGTGGGAGTCAATTACTCACCAATGGCATTCGAAAGTAGTTACACAATATTGCGAACTGACTGAAGTTATAAATATGGGCCACTGATTATCCATACAGTGATCTAAAGGTTGGTCGCTCCGTGGGACAAGAACGTACTGGGTCCGATCCCCGGTGATATTGCTGATGTGCACTTCTGAAGCGTCCCATATTATAGCGAAGAAGCTTTCTGATTTCAATGGTGCACAGTACGATATATATGTATTCAAATTGATTGAGTCAGTAAACAATTGATTGTTCCAAAGCTAACACAGCATTGTTGACGTAACGTAAAGTGATTTATGGATAGGAACATATAAACTAAATAAAAAATGTATTTCGTGTTCTAATTTGTGTCTTTCCCATTTCCAACTTATCGTATGGGCTTATCTGCATTCCAATGAGGTTCAGTGCTTTTGATGAGTCTCAAACTCAACACACTATAATTTGTTGACGAACCAATCACATTTAAGTTAACAGGTCATGGGTTTTGGCGTGAAATTCATTCACCCATATGGTTGAATAGCATTTTGGCATTCTAGTTGGCGTCAGTTGGTAATGAAAAACTTAACTCCGATTCCTAACCTTAACGTTCGACTGTAAATTCTAATTCCTCACACTAATTTATAACTTTCATTTAACCCAAGTATGTGGGTGGACACACAAGGTTACCTAAAGATTGCTTAAAGATTCTCCATAAATTATAGTCTCATACCTACAACGCTTTCAACACCAAGGTTGTATACAATAGGCTACCGAACTTGTGACAGCTTCCTCATGTTCAGTAAATATTAGTTTTAAATGATTCCTTCTGTCCTGAAGCAAATAATTACGAACGAGAAATCACATCTCTAGGTTATAAAAGACTAGTTAAACTGAACATCAGTATTATACAAAATAAATAAATGTATGTTGTTTGTTTTCATTTCTAGTGTGTACACGTGATCACAGTTTTCGTTAGACCAACAAAATAATTAGAAATGTGTAGATGATCGCTAACGTATATTTACGAAACCCAGGATAGAAGAAATTTACAGTTGACAAAACTAATCATTCTATGGGTTTTAAATAAATGTCTTTGTCTATTCGAAATTTCGTTCAAGGTTACCATATATAACACAACAAATGGCTATCTATCTGCTCTATTATATGTCACTCTCTCATTGACACTTTAAGCATAGAATTTAACATCCTGCTAATTAGCAAAAGCCATAGAGTTCTATCATCATACCATCATCACAGATTGGACAATATGTTTTAATCATTGATATTTACGTGTTTTCGGTAGATTAAAACAGCGCCGGTAGTAGTAACGTGATAAATGTAAAGTAGTTTCTCATGTTTCTTTGATTTTCAAGTACATAGAAAATCATATTTACTCTTACCTCTGCCTCGTTCACCTCTAAATTTTATTTCATAATTTAATCTAAGTCGATTTAAACATGAACATATGTATTTATTTCATTCTAATGTGATTCAACTGACCTGGCCACCTGAATTAGTAATGATTACTAATTACATGAATTTACGATAAATTCACCAGAATATTGTGGAGGACACTACTCATATGATTGTTTGTGAGTAGTATGTTGCGGAACGTGGAGTCAAAGTCGCAACAGTCGTCAGACATAGAGAAGAGTTCCAGTACAGCGAAAGCACGCCTT